AGCTTATTAATTCGGCAGGCTCGACGAGTGGCCTGACACAAACGCTTAGAATGACGAGGCTTGGCAACTGCAACGCCACTGCCTCTCTCAATGCCAAGGTCCGCCGCAACCGAGGCCACTTCGACCTGGGTGCCTTTTAGACCAAGACCATCTTGGATCGCTCTCGCCACCGACAGCTCTGACGCCACGATGGTCGACTTGCTAGCGATCTTAAGCTGCTCGGATTCACAGCCTGAGACAAAAACAGCTCCTGATGAAATGAGCTCCCGAGTTACATCCCGCTTCAATCCCTCGGCACGCTGAGTAACATCATCTATCCAGGTGCGCATGGGCACGAGAGAACTACTGGCACACGCACGCTCACAAATTTCGAACATCTGGCACTTCGAGAAATCGGGGGCCCTGCGAGCGCCAGCCACGAGGCCCCCGTGCGGGAGAATGGGAGGGGCATAAACCCACTCGCCCCTCAAAAGCCTGGGCCCCATATGGAGGATAGTTTCCAGGGCCAAGGGGTGAGGGGGAAAATCCAAGTCGATCGCGCGATCGACAACCTTTTCCCGCCGAATGGTATCATAAAAAGCTTCGACATCCCGCGGGATCGACGCTGAGCAATGCTCTGGCAGCGCAGACGCAAGAGCTGCCTCATCAGCATAACACCTGAGCAAGGCCTCTCGTAGAGCGCTGTTGCCTCGAACCGCGGCGTCCAAAGGGCCCGAGCGAGCATAAGCCCAACTCTCCGCAGGCCGAGACCGCATGCGGCTCCACAAACGACCCAACCAGGTGAGCAATCCTATGGCGCGATCCTTACGCACATCAGGTTTGCGAAGCAAGACGATGATGGCAGTCTGCCATTGCCAAGGCCACGCGACCCTAGCTTCGACCTGCTGGAAGATGGCAAGCAACGCGCGGCGGCCAGACTCAGGCAGCCACCGCACGTCCCTCTGGCCGACCGACTCGATGCCACTGGCCTTCCGCGGCGAGATGCCACGGAGCGCCTCCTCCAGCTGATCCAGGGTGAGCGGCTCCAGCACGTCGTGCAACGCCAGCTGACGAGCTTTGTCCAGCACACTAAGAGCGAGACCATCGTCGTGTCCCGACGGGGTCCAGATCTGGGTCCAGACCGCTGCCTTCGCCTCCATCACCGAAGCGGCGTCGCAAGACGTAGCTCCGTCAAGCCTCACTTCCGAAACCTCAGCCGTGGGATCACGTACAAAACGATGGAGAGCTCCACAACCCAGAACGGCCTGCTGGTGCACCCAGTCGCGGAAGGATTGGTGCCGCTGCCTCGCAACAGCACGCTGGGCCTGGTCCGAGGCCGCCCGCGCCCCTTCGGCGAACTTCGATGAAGAATCATGCGAGGCTCCGTCCAGCGTGCGCAAGCTCCTCAACCACCGATCCCGTCGGCGAGCAGGAAGAGGGACCATCTGGGAGGAGGGTGTCGACCCTGCAAGATGTCGCAACTGGTCTCGCAGGTGACGAGCACGAGGAAGGTCTCGCTTGTCTCCCTTCTGACCGACAAGCTCGTCAAGCAAGTTAGCTACCGTTCCCCACCATCTGGCGCTGGGGCCAGCAACTGTTGGATAAGGTTTGCTACCTTCATAACAACCAAGCTCAGGCCCCCGAAGCTGAGATCGTCCACAATACTGCCTTCTCGCCATGGGGTCCACCTTATACAACTCGAGGTAATACAACTCCATGGTGGACACCCAGGTTGCGAATTCAGTAACAAGAAACTGAGCGTCTTCATCAGCAGCTTGAAAGGCGAGAGACTGCTGAACAAAACCAGGAACATGAACAACTGACTGCGAAGGCCTGGGTGCCACCTGCTGCCACAGCAAATCCTTCGCCTCAGCCGACCACTCAGCCTGGATGGAAGCGTACGTGTCCAATTCAGAATCCGAGACGGCCACCTGCGCATCATCGTTATCTTCAGGGACATCCGTATCTTCCTCGTCCGTGATCAACTCGTCTTCATCCTCTCCAAACAGGGTATACTGCAAGGGCGGAGGGCTCTTGATACTCAGCTTACGCCTCGGTCCCCACGTCGGCGGAGACGGCGTCAGCGCTGGCTTTGGGCGAGCATCCCGAAGGGCCTGGGCCTCCGCCTTCTTCTGCGAACGCTTGCCGTCAGGGTCGGTCACAGGCTTCGGGCGACCAGGATGAGGGAAAGCACGAGACAACCGCATAATCCAAGCTCGGGCCCGACTGGCGTCAAAGTTGAGCTGAAGCTTGAGACCGTAGTGGGCCTTTCCCGCCTCCTCCACCGCCTGAAAGTCAGCCAGCAACGACTCGACCCAAGGCAACGCATGCTGATATACAACCATGTAGTCCAACATTCGACCTGGGCCCAGCGTGCAGGTATACTCCGCGTTGGTGGGGGTGATGATCGCACCGTTGACCATGGCCAGCCAACCAGTGCTAGCCAGCTCCTTCGGCGTCATATTCCAATCACCAATGGCCAGCCATGGCCCTTGGACCGTGGAAACCAGAGTACCAACGTTGGCCAACTTGGAAGCATTCGCCTTCGGGCCCACCGACGAAGTCATGTAACCTCCAACAATCAACAACGACTGGCCTTGGGCCCTCAGCTGCATGGCCACCATATCCCGAAAATCAATGCCAGGCTGATCCTTCGGACCTCGATCCAAGTCTCGCAACCCAACTTGTTCCGAGGGCGATGAGGCTAGGTGGCGCATGGACTGAACCTTGTACTTCTTAAGGGTGCCCATGGTGATGCCCCTGCCTTGGACTTACCGTTCGACTCATATGCCGCAGACAGCATGCCTATGTAGCCCGCCTTCCTCCAATCATGCAGCAAGTCGTGGGATCCCGAAACAGGAGCGTGGGTCTCAGGGAAGACAAGGATATCCGCTTCACGATCACGACAGACCGTCCGTGCGGCAGGGCCCCATCCACCCAAATTTCGCATATGCAAAGTTCGCCTCGTCGACGAACAGGAAGGGGCCGATCTTGCACGTGGTAAATGCGGGCTCGCCCCTCGATCACTGGGCCCGCCACGACCGAGGGGATCAGAGTGGCTAAAGGCCAGACTGGCCTGCCGACGCCGCCGTCGACCTCGCTGTGGCCAGCGTCGCCTCCGCCTCCTCCTTCAACTTTGACTCAATAGCCGCCAGACGGGCAGCCTCCACCGCACCAGGTGCCCCAGGAGCGGTCGCCGCTGCAGGCCCTTCCCCACCAGGGGCGGGCCCTGGTGCCGCAGCCGCTGCAGGCGCGGCAGGCCCTTGGCCCGCAGCCTGCGCAGCGGCGTCGCCTGCAGGAGCCGCGGCTGCCCCAGCGGCGGCGCCAGCCCCAGCCGCGGGCGGAGGCCCAGGGGAACTCTCCCTGCGCCTCTTGGTGATCTTCTCCCGCATCTCCGCGAGCTTCTCCCTGTGCTCCTTCAGCTTGTCATGGGCCTCGCCGAAGGTAGCACGCAACGTATGCATCAACGCCTCCATCACCGCCTTCTTACGCTTGTCCAGCTCCGCGACGTCCGATGGGGGAATAAGCCCATCCGCATTGCTGAACTCCTCGCCCAACGACAAAGTGAACAAAGACTCGTCCACCGCCTGCGCCGACATCAGCGCCGACAAATCGATGGTGTTGGGAGGAGCCCCCGCCTGTGCAGGAGTCTGAGCCGCAACCGTGGGCACCATTGAGCGGAACAACGTGGCCCTCTCAGCCTCGGCTCGGGCCAAGGTGGCTGCTGCATCCTGCATGGTGCTCTTGCACTTCTCCAGCTCCATCGTCAGCTTGAGCGGCTGAGACTTCGCCTTGTCGAAAGCCGTCTGGGCCTTCTGAACCTTCGACGCCGCCGCTGTCACCTGCTGAGTGATGGGCTGCGCCGACTCCGCCTTCTTTCCTGCCGCCCGAGTAGCATCCAGCAGCGCCTGGGCCGCCTTCGCCTGCTCGGAACCGCCTCCCTTGATGACGGCCTCCAGCTGCTCCTCGAGGGCGGCCTGCTGCTGCGACTGCTTGCCCTTGCCCTTACCCTTCGCGGCCTTAGGGCCCGCCCCTTCGCCATCACCCGCCTCGGGAGGAGGTAGGTTGCCGAAGGGCGCTCCACACAGGCATGTATTCCGATACATCGGTAACTTACTCGTCCAAGCCCAACGCGAGCACGCCGAGCTCTTGACCTTCGTGTCCTGCGCCTGCTGTGCCCCCTCACGAGGCCTCCTCTGGGTCCCTGGCCATGGCGGAGGCGGCGGCGCAAACCACGGCTGCTGAGCCGCAGGGTGCCACGGTGCCCAGCCGATACTGGAGCTCGTTGGAGGCGTTTGCTGCAGATTCTGGGGCCCAGGTGGACGAGGGAGGGGTGGCCAGGGTTCACCATCCTGCACTTCCTGCATTTTCCGAGCCTGTCGCCACTTCTTGCTTTTACCCATCGGGCAAACCGACTATTAGTGATCTGGATCCCCGAACTCGGGGACTTTTGATCCCAACCGAAATCGCTTGGAGATTGTCGGTGGCCACAAAAGCTCGCAGTGCACCTGAGCACGGCGAGCGGTCGGGGCCAAAACGGCTGGGACGAGGAGGAGGGGGAGGAGGAGGAGGAGGAGGAGGAGGAGGAGGAGGAGGAGGAGGGGGAGGAGGGGGAGGGGGGGGGAGGAGGAGGAGGACTGCGAGATCTATACGTATCCGCTGCGCCTGGCCAGGCCCCTCCTGGGCCCAGGAGCGGTGCGCGCCCCGCGGCTGTGAGCCCTCGACCCAAGATCACATGTATCTGCACGAACGAAATGGGCACGGAAATAATGGGTACAACGCCCAACAGCGGATCTTGTTTATTCTGAACAGGACTCGCTGTCCACGCCGCCGCGGCTTGTGTCCATTCGAGACAGAAGGCCGCCTGCTCAACAGCGGCCGCTGTTGGTTTGGGACAACATTTGTTGTTGGGCATTGTGCCCATTCTTTCCGTACCCATTTCGGGCGTCCAAAATGTAGGGGGGCGATGGTGGAGGGCGCCAGGGGTGGGGCTGTCAGCAGCTGTTGACCTGGCAGCCGAGGTTCAGCGTCGGAGAGTTCTCGCTGGAAGACATCCAGGAGAGCGCCTGCGACCCCCGTCCGCAGCAGCGCACCCTGTGATTTCCCTTCCTCCTCCTCCTCCCCCTCCTTATCAGAGGAGATGCAGTCTTCAACGCAAGTGTTCTACGGCGGAGATGCGTTCAGTTGTTGGGACAGCCAGGCCATGTGGGCACTGTGTTGCGTGGTGCGAGCAATGGTATGCATCGCGCCTGCACCCGATCGTATCAGCTCTGGCTAATGTTGCTCCCAAGCCGCCTTCGGTATCTGGCCCGTGCTCTCTCTTAAGCGGCGCCGCTGGCCCTGCACCCTTCCGTTTTTGCCCCGCCTCATCCTTCGTGCTGGTGTTGCCGCATGCGATACTTGCATCAGAACCGTTGTAACGGCTGCTGCGGCTGTTGCTGCTGCTGCTGCTGCTGCTGCTGCCCGCAGAGTATGTTGTGGCACACTCTTCGTGCGTGGCGCACCTCACCGGGGGGCCCCCCACCTGCGGCGCCAGAAGGGCAAACAGTACGGAAGGTTCACGTCGTGTCGACCGGCGGCGATCCCGCCGCTGGCGTCCAATGTAGGACGCCGCCGAAGACCTAGAATCGGTCGATGTTGAGCGATTTGATGTTTCGGAAAAACGGCAGATCGTTCAAGGTTGAACGATCCCTGGGTTGTCAGGAACCAAGGCCAGGGTGGACACAGCGCTATCCCGCGGTATGCGCATCTGGCGCCCGTTGGTGCAAACCTCACTCATGTGGTGCCCCATGTGGATCCCCAACCAATGGGCCAATGTGGACGCCCGTCACGTTGAATGTGGCATCGCATCGCGCATCGCGCGCCCCACATGGGTGGCCCGACTGATTCAGGCGCCGGGTGAAGCGGCCGTTTGTGTACCCGAAATCAGTTTCGACATTTCGACACCCTCACACATGTCGCACTCCGGAGGGGACCCCAAGTGGGCGCAAGGAGGCACGACCGTACGCTCGCGCGATCCAGTGCAGCACTCATCTCGTGCATTTTTCGTCGCATACATCCTCAGGACGAAAGTTTTTGCCTCTTGGGCCCAGAACGACGGGTTGAAGTCTTGAGCAGACGCGCATGAGATAACCGCCGTCGGATCCCGTGAAGTTCGCGCGGATCCAATCGTGGCTTTGGCGTCTGCTTCGGTGGATCCGATTACCGTCCGCGCGGATCCGATTTCGGATTTGCTGGATCCGTGTTCGGTCTGATGTTTTACGGCGGATCCGATTTTTGAACCGGTTTAAAAGTATAGTATTATATCTAAAATGGAACTGGGAGAAATCGGCTCCATGGACCCCGGATCCCGCCCGTGTAAAGACTCTATGTGGGAAGGGGCCTCGGTTATTAATTTCCATGTCATCATCGCCATTTGCACCTCAAGAGGACACATATTCTTCCTACGTAAGAGTGCGTTTCGGCCCTGCGTCTCCTGACCCAAGAGACTGCCTGTGAGATGTGGTCTGTCGGTTATGTGGTAACCAACGCGTCCGAAGGCCAACACGCCCATGCGTTTCGGCCTTGCGTCTCCTGACCCAACAGACTGCCTGTGAGGTGTGGTGTGCCGGCTATGTGGCAACTAACAAGTCCGACGGCCAAAACACCCATGTTTGTCGGCCCTGCGTCTCCTGACCCAAGAGACTGCCTGTCAGATGTAGTGCGTCGGCTATGTGGTAACCAACAAGTCCGAAGGCCAAAATGCCCACGCGTCTCCTGACCCAAGAGACTTCCTCTGAGATGTAGTGCGTCGGCTATGTGGTACCAACAAGTCCGAAGGCCAAAACGCCCATGCGTTTCGGCCTTGCGTCTCTTGACCCAACAGACTGCCTGTGAGATGTGGTGTGTCGGCTATGCGGTAACCAAGACGTCCGAAGGCCAAATCCCCTGCGTCCCCTGACTCAACGAACTGCCTGTGAAATGTGGTGCTTTGGCTATGTGGCAATCAGCAATTCCGAAGACCAGAACGCTCATGCGTTTCGGCCCTGCGTCTCCTGACCCAACAGACTGCCTGTCAGATGTAGTGCGTCGGCTATGTGATGACCTACAAGTCCGAAGGCCAAAACGCCCATGCGTTTCGGCCCTGCGTCTCCTTGCCCAACAGACTGCCTGTGAGATGTGGTGTGTCGGCTATGTGGTAACCAACAAGTCCGAAGGCCAAAACGCCCATGCGTCTCCCGACCCAACAGACTGCCAGTCAGATGTAGTGCGTCGGCTATGTGGTAATCAACAACTCCGAAGGCCAGAAGCGTTTCGGCCCTGCGTCTCTTGACCGAGCAGACTGCTTCTGAGATGTGGTGTCGGCTATGTGGTAATCAAAAAGTCCGAAGGCCAAAACCCCTGCGTCTCCTGGCCCAACAGACTGCCTGTGAGATCTGGTGTGTCGGCTATGTGGTAACCAGCAAGTCCGAAGACCAAAACGCCCATCCCACGACGACAGTTTTTCTTGTTGGGTCCGGAACGACGGCTTGAAGTCTTGAGCAGACGCGCGTGAGCTAACCGCCGTCGGATCCCGTGAAGTTCGCGCGGATCCAATTGTGGCTTTGACGTCTGCTTCGATGGATTCGATCACCGTTCGCTCCGCGTAGATCCGTTTTCGGATTTGCTGGATCCGTTTTTCCCCAACCATCCTGTGGTGGTGGGTCCTCGTTTTGAAGAGACGGTCCCCGCGTCCTCCTCTCCTCTCCTCCTCTCCTCTCCTCCTCCTCCTCCCCCTCCTCCTCCCTCCTCCCCCTCTTCCCTGCGTTTCACCCACCCAGTACAGCGCCGTACCCAGCTACAGTGCTGCCGTATATTCGGCACACCCCTCCACGTTTAGGAGCTCCGCCGAAGGCCCCAGTGCTGCCGCCCGCATGCGTCACCACACCCAATTCGGCACACCCCTCACACGTTTCGTGGCCCCATAGGAGCTCCGCCGAAGGCCCCAGTGCTGCCGCCCGCATGCGTCACCCACACCCAATTCGGCACACCCCTCACACGTTTCGTGGCCCCATAGGGAGCTCCGCCGAAGGCCCCAGTGCTGCCGCCCGCATGCGTCACGCACACCCAATTCGGCACACCCCTCACACGTTTCGTGGCCCCATAGGGAGCTCCGCCGAAGGCCCCAGTGCTGCCGCCCGCATGCGTCACGCACACCCAATTCGGCACACCCCTCACACGTTTCGTGGCCCCATAGGAGCTCCGCCGAAGGCCCCAGTGCTGCCGCCCGCATGCGTCACCCACACCCAATTCGGCACACCCCTCACACGTTTCGTGGCCCCATAGGAGCTCCGCCGAAGGCCCCAGTGCTGCCGCCCGCATGCGTCACCCACACCCAATTCGGCACACCCCTCACACGTTTCGTGGCCCCATAGGAGCTCCGCCGAAGGCCCCAGTGCTGCCGCCCGCATGCGCACACCCAATTCGGCACACCCCCCACACGTTTCGTGGCCCCATAGGACCGAAGGCCCCAGTGCTGCCGCCCGCATGCGTCACCCACACCCAATTCGGCACACCCCTCACACGTTTCGTGGCCCCATAGGAGCTCCGCCGAAGGCCCCAGTGCTGCCGCCCGCATGCGTCACCCACACCCATTTCGGCACACCCCACACACGTTTCGTGGCCCCATAGGAGCTCCGCCGAAGGCCCCAGTGCTGCAGTGCTGCCGCCCGTATGTGTCACGCACACCCAATTCGGCACACCCCCCACACGTTTCGTGGCCCCATAGGGAGCTCCGCCGAAGGCCCCAGTGCTGCCGCCCGCTTGCGTCCCGCACAGCCAATTCGGCACACCCCTCACACGTTTCGTGGCGCCATAGGAGCTCCGCCGAAGACCCCAGTGCTGCCGCCCGCATGCGTCACCCGCACACACACAATTCGGCACACCCCTCACACGTTTCGTGGCCCCATAGGGAGCTCCGCCGAAGGCCCCAGTGCTGCCGCCCGCATGCGTCACCCACACCCAAGTCGGCACACCCTCACACGTTTCGTGGCCCCATAAGGAGCTCCGCCGAAGGCCCCAGTGCTGCCGCCCGCATGCGTCACCCACACCCAATTCGGCACACCCCTCACACGTTTCGTGGCCCCATAGGGAGCTCCGCCGAAGGCCCCAGTGCTGCCGCCCGCATGCGTCACCCACACACAACTCGGCACACCCCTTACGCGTTTCTTGGCCCCATAAGGAACTCAACCGAAGGCCCCAGTGCTGCCGCCCGCATGCGTCACGCACACCCAAGTGGGCACACCCCTCACAAGTTTCGTGGTCTCATAGGGAGCTCCGCCAAAGGCCCCAGTGCTGCCGCCCACATGCGTCACCCACCCAATTCGGCACACCCCTCACACGTTTCGTGGCCCCAAAGGGAGCTCCGCCGGAGACCCCAGTGCTGCCGCCCGCATGCGCCACCCACACCCAATTCGGCACACCCCTCACACGTTTCGTGGCCCCATAGGGAGCTCCACCGAAGGCCGCAGAGTGCTGCCGCCCGCATGCGTCCCGCACACCCATTTCGGCACACTCCTTACGCGTTTCGTGGCCCCATAGGGAGTGCGTCCCGCACACCCATTTCGGCATACCCTTCACACGTTTCGTGGCCCCACAGGGAGCTCCACCGAAGGCCTCAGTGGGTGTGCCCGCATGCGTCCCGCACATCCATTTCGGCACACCCTTCACGCGTTTCGTGACCCCTCACACGTTTCGTGGCCCCATAGGGAGCTCCACCGAAGGCCCCAATGGGTGTGCCCGCAAGTGTCCCGCACACCCATTTTGGCACACCCCTCGCACGTTTCGTGGCCCAGTAGAGGGGCTCCACCGAAGGTCCCAGTGCTGCCGCCCGCATGCGTCCCGCACACCCATTTCGGCATACCCTTCACACGTTTCGTGGCCCCAAAGGGAGCTCCGCCGAAGGCCCCAGTGGGTGTGCCCGCATGCGTCCCGCACACTCATTTCGGCACACCCCTCACGCGTTTCGTGACCCCTCACACGTTTTGTGGTCCCATAGGGAGCTCAACCGAAGGCCCCAGTGGGTGTGCCCGCCCGCGTCC